AGTCTAGCTATTATTACTATTATATAAGCGTTAAAAAAATACTTATATAACTCATAATAATAGCCCAAATATTTATTATAAGTTCCTAATAACGTTACTATAATTAAATAAAAGCTATATTAAAAATAGCGTAGACATAGCTCACTTACAGCTAGGGGTGTTAACGGGGCGGTTCGGTTCGGATAGTAATAAAATTGTGAACCGTTATCACGGGGCGGGTACTTCATGTGCACTAACCGAAACCGAACCGAATTAGCAAAAAAACCGAACCGAACCGAACCGTATAAAGGCGGGTAACCACGGTTCGGTTCACGGGTACCCGCTAAATATAAAAATTTAAATACAATTAAAATTACAAACTTCATTCCAACGATTTCTTTCTAAAAATTACTAAGTCCAAAGAATTATAAAAACATAATAAAGGTTAAATAACATACAATATAATTGGTATAATAAATATAAAAATAAAAATAGAAGAAAACATAACATAGAAGTGTAAAATTGGAATAGCCGATCATGATATTTGTTTGGGATATGGCTAAAAGTTCAATGAAAATGAATAATATTATATATATATATATATATATATATATATATATATATATATATATATATATATATATATATATATATATATATATATATATATATATATATATATATATATCAAGCGGTTCGGTTCGGTTATGCGCGGATACCTAAGTATCAAAACCAAAACCGACCCGTTGATATCCGGTTTTTTCGGTTTCGGTTTTTTTATGTTTCGGTTTTTTTCGGTTTCGGATCGGCCGGTTCGGCTCGGTTTTGCGGTTTTTTTGCACACCCCTATTTACAGCGGGTTTTATAGAAAACCAGGCTTTGCTTGGAGCATCGTTTCTGAGCCAAAAATCTCTTCTTCTCGGAGCCGTCGAGCACTCCTGGGCTTCCGCCTCGTGCTAGGGAGGTTCCCTAGGCTTTTCGGGGGATTTCGGGGCTAGAGAGAGGTTCTAGAGAGAGAGACTAAAGAGAAGAAAGAATGGGAAAGGTGTGAAGAAAATGAGGGTGGGAGACGTGGTATTTATAGGGTGAAAATGGTTGAACTTGGTGACACATGTTACCATCTAGTGGCAAGACTTGGGGAGAAAGCAATGGCCAAGATTGTGCCACATCACCCATTTTCGCACAACACACTTCCGACTTCTAAAATCCGTAACTTTCACATACGACCTCCGTTTTTGACGTTCATTATATCCACACGTAGGTAAAAATAATATCTACAACTTTCATTTTGACTCCGTCGGCTAATTCTCGACCGATCTTAAATTTAACAGTACGAGACGTTTAGACTGTTAAATGACCGCGAAGAATTCGTAACTCCTTCATACGGACTCCGTTTTCATCTGTCTTTTTACCCTTGAGTTCCTATTAATGAGATATTCAACTCTCATTTAGTTCGCATAAGCCATAAACCGCTCGAACTTAAATTCGAGTTTCGGGCTATACACTGCTAAGCCGAATCTTAGAAAAATCATAACTTCTTCATACGAAGTCAGATTTGGGCGTTCTTTTTATGGATCTTCTCGGTTTAACATATTCTACGAATTTTGTTTAGATCACTAAGGCTAAATCTCACTCTATTATAAATTCACTTTTTACGCTTCCCGGTGCCGTGTTGGTTCCGTCGCGAAACTTCGACGGGTCATAACTTCTTCATTATAACTCGGATTTCGGCGTTCTTTATATGTACGGAAACCTTGTGACATATAATACAACTTGGTTCAAATTATTTATTCTAAATAATATTATGTCGAAAAGTCATTTTCGACCCCTATTATCTCTAAATTGACTACCCGGATCTATGGGCGTTACATAGAAGAATCTTCTTTTCTCTATTTGGGAGAAGCTTTGGGCATTTCGTACAAGTTGTAAAGAAAGATGTCGATTTTCTCAAGAAGAATTTCAGTCTCCTTCTTGGCCTCGGCCTTATTATCCAGGTTTTGCTTATTCTCACTTTCTCCATAATCTCTATTTTTGGCATAATTTGCTTGTAATTATAATTTCAAATTATTTACATTTCCAACTTTTGTTGATATCTACGCTAAATGACCAATTTCATTCAACAACCGAACTTCACTTGCTCATGCTCATGCCAATGAAGATATCCATATTGTTGATGCTGAATCTGATGGGTTTGAATTGGAAATCGGTGCTCTTGTCATGAAACTAAGGCCTAGGTCTATGATCTGTCTTATTATTCCTTTTAAAAATTTAACTTATTGTTTTATAGAAGAATACAATAAGATAATATATCTCTTCTTTCAGGAGTCTTTAATTCGTGTTAACAACAAACTTATATTGTTGGCATCCCTTAGTAATTCATTGGAGTAAATTGTCGATTCTATAGAAAGGCAAGTTCTTATTTTATTTATCGATATATGAAACACATGTTTTTTTTAAAAAAAAAAAAAATTATGTGTCATGTAATCTACAGGTTTGGAAATGCATCAGCAAAAGCATCTGATGAAGAAGTGGTACAAGAACAGAATGATGTTAAGCTGACACCTGGGAATGGGCATAATAAACTCCCATATTGGGGTTATCTTCTTTAAAGCTCACTGGTTTGCTCCGTTTGATCTTCAATTTCTTCTCCTCTTTTTGTGTTTGGGTTTCTGTTTTACTCCATGTTGATTTTGATTTCGATATATATCATATAAGTAACAGTTGAACAAGAACTCATCCATGGAGTTTCTGCCACCAATGATCACAACAACACAATAAGAACAGGTTAATCTAAAGTCAAACACCCTTTTGTGTTTTTCCAAATCCATTTTCAATCAAACAAATCATAACTCTAGATAGATTAATGTCCTTGGATTCAGGAACACTATGGAGTACAGTTGCTCACATCATCACTGCAGTCTAATCTTTCATGAACGTATTTGTACGTAGTTTCTACATTTAAGTAGTATTATTCGGTCAACAGATGAAAAACAGGCGTTGCTATGTGGTTGGCTTCAGTTTCTTAACTTCTTTGGGACTGGTGTTGCTTATGTGGTTACAACCTCAACTTGTATGATGTAATTAATTAACATGCCTCTTTCTCAAATGTTTTCAAAGAGATGTTTATTGTTCATGTATACAACACTTTATCCATACAAAGCAATTCAGAAATCAAATTGTTACCATAAAGAAGGGCAGGAGGCTACATGTGAATATTCGGGCAAAGAGTCTCAATATTTAAAAGATAAATTAGATTACTCATGTCAAAGAGTCTCAATATTTATAACTGTTATGTATGGTCTATCAACACTTTACCATCCATGTTTTTAAATTTATAAATACGTAATGTATTAAATATGATTACACTATATTGTTATTGTTGCTATAGATTCATTTATTCTATTCAATATAACAATTTAAGATGTTGTAAGCACTTAATCGATCAGGGGCATTTTAGTAATTTTGTCGAAGTTTATTAAAATATTATATATTTGTTATATTTTTTCCTTATTCTACAAATTTTTCAAATTTACATGTCAAAGAGTCTCAATAGTTATAACTGTTATGTATGGTCTATCGACACTTTACCATCCATTTTTTTAAATTTATAAATACGTAATTTTTAAATATGATTACATTCCAGAATCTTTATGTCATATCAGCATTAACCAAATTTATATTTTCCTACATTTTGTAAATATATTAAAAATATTATATAAGATGTTTAATTTCGATATCTTACCATATTTATGAAAATATTGTGTATTTATTATATAATTTCCTTATTCTACAAGCTTTTCAAATTTACAGTTTTTTATATGGTAATATTATCTTAAATATGGTATGATTTTATTTATTTTTTCCTTATTCTACAAGCTTTTCAATTTTACAATTTTTTATATGGTAATATTATATTTTAAAGATAGTATGATTTTATCTATTTCTACTTATATTTGAGATGTTATACTGATATTATTTTGGATATCATACCATATATATAAAACATCTTTTAAGTATGGAAATGATATTACATTCCACAATCTTTGTGTCATATCAGCGTTAACCACATTTATATTTTCCTATATTTTGTAAAAATATATTAACCATCTTATATTGATATTATTTTCGATATCATACCATATTTATGAAAATATTGTATATTTATTATATAATTTCCTTATTCTACAAGCTTTTCAAATTTATAATTTTTTATATGGTAAATATTATCTTAAATATGGTATGATTTTATTTATTTTTGTAATTATATTAGACATGGTATATTGATATTACTTTGGAGATCATACCATAATTAAAACATGTCTTAAGTATGGAAATGATATTACATTCCAAAATCTTTATGTGATATCAGCATTAACCAAATTTATTTTTCCCTATAAATATACTATCTACGATTTTTCATTACAAATCAAAATTCTCTCTAACCAATTATCCCCTTCCATTGCAGATAATAGTATTCCATGGCATCTAACAATGCAGATCAGGTCATCTTTGATAAGGTTGCTGAAATCAACGCATCTAAAGAGTCTTTGAACATACGTGTTAAAGTCGTCATGCTTTGGAAGCCGACCTATATAAACAATCCTAATATGGTCACAAGCCTGGACATGATTTTAATTGATCAGGAGGTACTGTTTTTACACCATTTGTTTTTTAGATTATCAATTTCTTATGTTATCTCTATTCAAACAAATTGAAATTCGATTTTTGTTATGCTTTTTTACTTCTATTCATACAATTTTAATAATCAATTGTATTATTTTTAAAAATAAACTTTAGTCTATGTAATGAAATCTCTTATTGTTCCTTTTTTTTAATATTTTTTTCTACACTTTTTTTATCTTTCATTGTCACCTACAGGGAAGTAGAATTCAAGCAACAATAAAAAAAAAAAAAAAAAATCTTATTCCTGTATTTGAATCCCTATTCGATGAAGGAGCTGTCCGGGAGATCAGTAACTTCGCTTTGGCTAGCAATGAAAGCGAATACATGCTTGTCCCTCATAAACATAAAATCAATTTCTACAAAACCACAAAAGTTCGTGTATCCAATGATTTTGTTGATACAGTAGATCCTTATCATTTTATCTCTTTCCCAGATTTGCTAGCCAGGAACTTTGACACTTGTGTTGCATTTGGTATGTTATGTTGTTAGTTTAACTTATTTCTATACTTCAATTTTTAATGTAATACACATTTGGATTATTATTACTAATTTATTAAATTTTTTCACATAGATTTTCTAGGTGTTGTGTCAACTGATCCCATGCGAGTCACTGTTGAGTATGGAAGAGAGAAAAGGTTAATGAATCTGGTTGCTCAGGATTTAAGGTACACATTCGTATTATTATTACACATTCCTCCGTTTATCTTTATCTTTCATTAATAACCACAATGCATATTTAGTGGTACGAGAATTGCAGTCGCTTTGTGGGGCAGTTTTGCAATGAAGCTGAATACTTACATTTCACAACATAATAATGTCACTTCTCCTGTTATTATCCTGCTACGTTTGGCGAAACTCAAAATTTGGGGTGGTAAGTGTTTTTTACAACAAATTATCATTTCAACTTCAAAGTAATTACTGATAATATTATTTTACTTTTTTCTTGCAGGTCAGCCTCAAGTTGGTAATTGTTTGTTTGGGTCTAGATTGCATATAAATGATGATATGCCTCAGATTTTGGAGTTCAAATCAAAGTATGTTATTTACCATTTTTAACACATTTATCTTACTAAATTATTACTTTTGTTGAATAACCTCACTTTTTTGTTTATGTAGTCTTAATGCTTTGGATACGAATGTTGAGTCTTCTAGCCGTACATCCCAACTCAACTCATATACCGTTCTGTCTAATCCAGAGGATTACTACCTCCGTTTTCAGATAAAAAACATTGATGAAATTCCTGATTTTAATGAGGTTTACTTAGCATTTTTATATAACAGTTTCCGCATTCTATTATTGTTTTGACTTTATATCTACAATTTATATGAAATAATATTTTAATATGATTCCTTTTTTTTTCCTATATATGAAACAGGAAGTTGGTTTAACCATTATCGCTACTATCATTGGTTTTGATATGGATGATGGTTGGTATTCATTTTATTGTCGTGATTGTTCTAAAAAAGTTACTAAAAATGATGATGATCTTGATGCTGGCCCCTTTCACTGTGATGGTTGTGGGTTTGTCTCAGATGTATTTGGAAAGTAAGTAATTATTATCTCTTTGACTATACATGTATTTTACATTTTTCATATATTTCATTGTGTATGTCAGGTACGTTTATTCTTTTCAATACTCTGTCTTCATCGTCTTCAATTTATACTCTCTGTATTATTGATTTTCAATCAGATTGTAACTTTTAAGTGATAAATAACAACGTTCCTAAAATATCTAGGGTTAATAATGTATTAATATGAAAAACAAGTTATTTTCGTTTTTAAGTTTAATTCATTAATATCATATTAAATATAAATATTTATATATGTAGTTTGTATTTAAATTTTAAATCAACGTCTTTTGAATTCTATTTTTTTTAAATTGACGTCTTTCAAAGTGTTATTAAACTTTGTAATTTTGCAATCTTAGATTCGGGTTTTATATATATATATATATATATATATATATATATATATATATATATATATATATATATATATATATATATATTTACTATCTTATAAAAGAAATCTAACTATTTTTAAAAATAGATTGATTATAATAATAATATTTTTTTAAGACGTCCAAATGATGAAGCTGATAGTACAACTAGCTATTAATAAAATAATATTAAATTTTAACCACATTTTGAATTCAAATATTTATCATCAAATCTCCTTATATTTCTCAGCAATTTGATATGGTTCCCTCAAATCCCGGATTCATTCAAATTTTGAACCCTTTTCGATATCCTTAAATTTAGCATGTTAATTTAAATATCCCTCCAATCGCAAATACCTCTTTGTTCCCTCGTCTGCTATAAAGCCCACCGTCTAGGAATAAAAAATGACTTCATCTCCCAAATAACACCATAGTTTGATTATTTTGTCTTCGACATGTACTTTCTTTTGTAACATAACATTTTTGTAGAGGAAACATATCACCAAAAAAATTTACACACTCCGCCGCTTTACGCGGGTACGCTGCTAGTATATATATATATATATATATATATATATATATATATATATATATAATTTCAAACAATATTTGTTTTTTGTCCAGATAAATGACTCAAACCACAATTGCTAATTGTAGCAACTCTTTGTCATCGATCATCTACTCCGAAAATGAAGATTTCCTTCATAATTTTGATTTCAAAAGTATTGTTGATCTCAAACAAGTACATCAGGTATATATAAATCACTTTCATTTACAATATATAATTTTTGAGAAATTGGTTTTCTATTATTTATATCTTATTCCTTGATTATTATTATTTTATACTAAAATTTAAACTTCCATTAACATTTTTTAGGAAAAAACTTTAATTGTTGTCGGTACGATTAAGCAACTATGTGCTGAAGGGGAATGGTACTGTTTTACTTGTATTATATGTCAATAGAAAGTCGTGAAACAAATTTTAATACATCAAGATCAGTCTCAAGATAAAGAAGTTTTTTTATTGTAACACTTCAAGCTGCATAAACAAAGTCATTTCTATTGTTCCCAGGTTTTGAAACTTATTTTATAAATATTATTATATTGTTCTGTTAAATTATATAAATTTATTTTACTAAATATGTTTACATCAATGCTTTCAGTTTTAAAATCACCATTGTAGTTGAAGATATTACCGGTTCGGCATCATTTACTTTATATGATTCTAACGCAAAGAAGCTTATAAGAAAAAACGCACAAGAGTTGGTTCATGAGTTCTATAAGGTTATACATATTAACTTCATTTACATAAAACAAAATTATCATTTTGTATATCTATTTTTATAAACATTCTTTTTTTTTTAGGTTGGTAATAATGAAATTTATCCATCTGCTCTAAATATACTACTGGAAAAAAAGATGGCGTTCAAAATTCAAATTACACATGACAATTTGAATAACAAAACTGAAGGTTATGCTATCTCAAGGATCACGTCTAACAATACAATCATTGATGTATTGGGAAAAAAATGAAAATGGATCGGGTAAAATTCTTTACCCTCAATGCTACAAACAATATACTTATTATCAATTAAAATCATATGTCATCAAATATTAAATTTTAAGTTTTTCTAATATTATTATCTTATTATTTCTTTCTTTTGCAGTTATCGTTATTGACTTCTGAACTAATTATTGAAATTCTTTCACGAACATCATTACAAACATTTGCTACTGTACGTTGTACAAATACATTACATATTATGGAAATCTAACATACAACAACTATGTTCTTCATAACTACAACCGTAGAAATAATGTGGTTTGTGGAATTATCGTTCAAAAAAAAAACCATGGAGAAATATAGAGCATCAGTTTCTTCCGTCTTTTGGTAGCAACAATCATGACATTAATTGGCTACCACATACTTGTACTATTTTAGCATCATCATTGTGTGGACTCCTTTATGAATCATATGATCCAGATGAATACGTTTCAAAGATTTTATTTCTTATCAAACCAACGACTTCAGATGCCAAATGGATACCGTTTCCGACCTCTAAATACACTGCAACAAAGTTTGCTTTGGTAGTTATCAGTTCAAACCCGTTACATTTCAAGGTCATTCGATTGTCATACACAAAGCCATCGTAAGAGAACCACTTGGATTGTGGTGACTTGGTAAGGCATGTGGAAGATATGGTGGATAACCTATTGACCCATGTTCAAATTCTGGCACCACTCAGCCCTTGTGGCCATGGAGGTTCGCCTGCAGTGACTCCAGGGCATGAAGCAAAGCTTTATGTTTGCAGCGGGGGATTAGTCGGTGCGCGAAAGCTGGCCCGGAAACCCTCGTTAGGGAAGATCCCTTTCCAAAAAAAAAAAAGCCATCGTAAGAGTTTATATGTAGTACATTTTATGTTATTAATTTACTTTATGATTTACTTATATGTTATTTTATTTGTAGTGATATGCCTACAGAAAAAGTGGACTATGATTACTACAACATAGAATTGTTTTCATCTACTACATGGCAATGGAGGGAGTTTCAAAATATCCAGTTACCATCATCTGTTCATCATGTCTCTGATGAGGCAGTTACAAGTGGCGGTACCTTATACTTCTTATTATCTAATGATAGCATATTGTGATTTGATATTTATTCAGAAGAACATATACTCATATTTTCACCTTCTACTGTTAATGAATCAAAACCGTATGCATCGAGACTAATCAACTTTCAGGGAAAATTAGGATATCTCTCTATAAGTGGAGATACTTCGTGGGCTATTTTGATTTTCATTCACAATCGATGGGTTAAAGTAGATGATAGTACTTACAATGAAAGTGCACATGAATGGTGGGATTATAGAAACAATACCTTATATTTCTTTTGAGGAAATACAATTGAGTATGAGGTTCCGGCACATCATTCTCAACAAGTTTTTTCAATCCATTCTGATTTTGATACAGTTACTATGCCAAGTCGATATTACTGATTATATATATATATATATATATATATATATATATATATATATATATATATATATATATATTAATTTGCATTCGAACATAGTTGTTTTTATTGTAATGAACTATTTTAATATTTTATATTATTCTATGATTTATTAGTTTTTTTTATTTATTCTTTTAATTGTTATGAAATTAAAATAGCTATTGTAATGTATGTTAATGAATTTAAAATAACTATGGTAATCTACTTTTAATTATCGTGCTTCCTATGATGTAATATACGTTTACAATTCAATGTTTTTTTTATATGCTCTCCGCGTTTAACGCGGATTTTAATCTAGTTCTTAAATATATGTCGCTTCATTTAATTTCATAATAAAATTGGAAGAAAATGTCCTTCATTCGATCGAAAAGAAATAATAGCAAAAATTTCAAAAAGGATATAAATCATTAAAAAATACATCCAAAACCCAAGATCATATCTCAATTAATCCTTCATTATTTTAAGTATTTAATATTTCCTTCGTGTATTACAAAGCCAACTCAAGGTGATGAGAGAAAATAAAAGAATATATGGAGTATAGAGAGAATCTAAGGAGTATTTAAAATTTTAGTCGGTTGTTTTTATATTTATATTTTCTTAAAGTATTAAACGTGAATAAATTTTTAAGAATGTCACATGAAATTATTAAAATCATATTCTAAAAAATGTCACTTGGCACTTAGTGATTTTTATTTATTAAGTACTATAGATATAGATTTTACCGATCCTCTTCCAAGAGTTTGATTTCAAATTATTGTCTTATTGTCCATTAATTATAACTTCATACAAACATGTTTAGATAAAGTTTTTTCTACACCTTTTAGCTTCCAACTAATCCTAAACCACTTTTATATAATTCAATAATATATAGTTATATACCAAGAATTTCAGAAACATTTTAGCAAACTCAAAAGCATTTCAACAACATTTTAACAAAATTAGAAGCATTTCAACAAATTCAACAACATTTCATAGCTTGCCAAATAAGAGAATGTTGAGCCATTTAGATGCGTGAAAAATGTTAAAGCAAACATTCTGAATCGATCATCTAATCGTTTCAAAGCCTACCTCTTAAAGGAACCATTAGGGTACCAATTACCAAACATCCCATTATAGTTTAAAAAGGAAGGAAAAAGAACCTACTTCAACCATCTCTCTCTTGCTACCACTAATACCATGAACACCACCTCAAGGACATGTTTCCGACAACCACTAAAACCTAAACTAGTTTTTCCCATTTTGTATGCTTTCTGTACAACGATAGTATTTTTTTATTTTAATTTAAACAACTAAGTAGTTTTTAATTGGTAAGAACCGATGAGTGTTTACCTTTTTTTATATTACGTACCACCATGCAAACAAACAACATAAATAAGTATTTGCTTCGTAAAATCAAAATTCATAAGAAGTTGGAAGCAGGTACAGACTCCATTACATTAAAAAAAAACCTCAAATGGAATTTCCAATTTCATTAAACACCAAAAACTATGATGAACAGTATTAAAAAGTGGGAATATATACAGTAAAATCACAATATTTTCATTGATTTGACAAGAAAGTCCTAAACTTTATTTTTTTGACAGTAAAATCCAAATTACCGATAGTTTTTGACATTTTTACCATTTTTTCCGGTTAGCCAGTAATTAGGACTTTTTTATCAACAAAATAAAGTTTAGGACTTTCTTGTCAATTCGTCAATTAGGACTTTATTATTAAAAAAAAAATAAAGTTTAAGAATTTTTTTGTCAAATCGTTGAAAATATTGGGACTTTGGTGTATATATGATTTTTTTTGTTAGAAATTTAATGGTATGGTACTCTTTAACTATAAAAGTTATTGAAACATTCACTAATCTGCTAGATCCTATTGAAATCCTTAACGTTTGCTTCTTGTTAAATCGTTTTTTTAATCTCAACAAACCGACATTGAAAAAAATTGAGATAATCAAGAAAGAAAGAAATAAAGAACCAAGGTTGTGTTGGCTTTTTGCAGCCCAAAAAATGGAGAAATAAGAAATGGTAAAAAACGAAATTGTCCTTCTTTCCCTTCTCCGCATTCACACTTTTTTTACTAGGCATGTGTTGTTAGTGTTTGTATAAAGCCAAGACAATTTCGTTTTTTAGGTTTCTAATTTCTCCATTTTTGAGACTGAAAAAAACCAGCACAACCCTGGTTCTTTCTTTATTTCTTTCTTGATTATCTCAATTTTTTTCAATGTCGGTTTGTTGAGATTAAAAAAACGATTTGACAAGAAACGTAAAGGATGTCAATAGGATTTAGCTGATTAGAATAAGTTTTAATAACTCTTATGTTTAAAGGGTATTATACCATTAAATTTCTAAAGTCCCAATATTTTCAACGATTTGACAAAAAAAGTCTTAAACTTTATTTTTTTTACAGGAAAGTCCTAACTGACGATTTGATAAGAAAGTCTTAAACTTTATTTTTCTGACAAAAAAGTCCTAAATATCTGCTAACCGGGAAAAAGGGTAAAAATGTCAATAAAGTTTATGACTTTGTTGTCAAATCGATAAAAATATTGGGAGTTTACTGTATATATCCCTAAAAAGTGAATTACGATGAATAATTTGATTCGCGATAGTCTGTGTCTTCTAAAAAGTTTTTTACAATTATCAAATCAACAACCATGGATTGAAAACAACGTGAAAAAACATGTACAAACAAAGTAAATATATCGACTTATAAAAACAAATTGTATAAAAAAAACATATAAAAATGAAGAAAAAAATGAAGTTGTAAAAACGGATTTTGAAAAGAAAAAATGAATGAAACTGTTAATGGAATCATGAAAATATATAAGTTTAGTAATTAATTATATAGTTTAGTAACTAATTATAGGCCAAAAAACTTGAATAACCTTAAATAACTAATAAAAATTCAATGACTTTAGATAATAAAAAAAATTATATAAAAATATATTGTTGTTAGTTGTAGTTTTGGCAAAAGTTAATAATTCAATAACTTTTAAAACTTAAAATAAGTCAAATGACTAATTGATCCAAAAATTAAATGATAATAATAACATTAACCCTAACCCTAACCCTATTATAGAACTAATGGTATTGAGCTCGGACCGATGAGCATCCCCATTCCCGATTTTTAGTTTTTAGTTCAGTGATTCTTCATCCACATCCTTATCCCAATCATTAGTCAACTTGGGTGTTCTGTATTGGATTCCCGTTGGGCACGATTTTCTTCTTCTTTTTTTTTTTTTTTTTTTTTTTTTTGGTCATCTCCACACACAAGAAGGACCTAAATGTTAAAGTTGGTAGGTTATGGGCTACTTTTGAAGTTTTGTTTAACAAAGGTCATCCATTATAGAGACGTCGACGTGTTTCCTCTCTCCTATCTTCAAATCCGAAATCGTCTACAAGCTTCACTCTCGTGATTCCATCAATAGCTTGACGAAAAGGCAAATTTCCTGTTCATCACCTCATCAAACGTTGAAATCCCTTAACGCTTGCAGGTTTAATCGCAATCCCTCATCTCCCTTTTGGATTTATAACTTCTTCTTTCTTATCTAATTTAATTGAATCGAAATCAATCTCTTGAGAAATCTATGCGATTGGGGTTTTCAGTTTTAGCTTCAAAATCGCTAATTTCTTTGCCAAGTATCTCAATTACGCCTTATCTTTTAGAGTTTCTGCAATTTAACTCAGATTCAATTCACGATACCTAACCTTTTTGGTTAAAGAATTCGTTTTACGGAGATCACATTCGTAATAAACTAGGAGGTTTTTGGGTTTTTCCTTTTTCGTTTTGTTTTTGGTAAGGCCAATTTAGGTGCTGAAAATTAAGGGTTTATGACAGTTTTCTGAGTGGCGAAAGTTCATGTAATTGTACTTGTATTTAGTTGTCTAAGCCTCTTAGACATTTGCAGCTTTCCATGACACTAGGATGTGCGATCAAACGATCACAATACTCAGTTTTGAGAGTTTGGATAAAATAGATTATGATTATGATCTTTGATTATATAGAGATGATACCTCAAGAAAAATGGAAAAAAAATATCTGTCTAGCTTTTATCAACCAATACTATCTTTCAGGATACCAAAAAAGGAGCTGGTTTTCTTATGTCAAGCTAGTACTTTAAGCTTAAGAATAGAATTAAACTCTGTCACTAATTCACCACCAGAAACAAATCCACAATACACCATTAATCGAGTGTATTTATATTCTTGAATCTTGAGCAATTTCTAATTTTCTTTGTTTACAGAGTTTTGACTAAGATGACACCTGTTGGCCCTTTTGTGAAAGCTGCTCGACCTGATGATGCATCTTCAAAAAAATCCAGTGAAATCCAAAACAAATGTCCAATGAGTAAAGAAGCCCAAAATAAGGGATGCCCAATGAGCAAGGAAAACCAAAACAAACCTCAGGGACAAGGATGTCCAATGAGTAAAGTCAAGCAAGATTCCGAAGAGTCTAAATCTAACGTGATTTCCCCAAAATGCCCCTTTGGATATGATTCTCAAACTTTCAAAATCGGCCCCTTCAGTTGCCTGATATGCCAAGCCCTACTCTTTGAATGCAGCAGATGTGTTCCTTGCACTCACGTGTTTTGCAAGTAAACATACACCATATGCTTTTTCTATACTTTCATGAACACACACATATAGATATATATAGTTAAATACTTATAATTTACGTTCTTATTTTGTGTAAAAACAGAGCATGCATATCAAAGTTCAATGATTGTCCTCTATGTGGAGCTGACATTGAGAAGATAGAAGCTGATGCAAATCTTCAAAGTGTAGTTGACCGATTTATCGATGGTCATGCTAGAATTAAAAGGTCTCCTGTGGATACAGATGAAAAGGAAAAGGAAATAATTGGTGAGAAGAAAACAGTGATATATGAAGATGTCTCATTGGAAAGAGGTGCTTTCCTTGTTCAACATGCAATGAGAGTAAGTTATCAACTTTTTATCAGCATCTTGTTACTAGTTTCTGTTAAAATTTACATTTTTATCCTTTCAGGCATTTCGTGCTAATAATGTAGAAAGTGCAAAATCAAGACTTAGTTTATGTGCACAAGATATAAGAGAACAACTTGAAGTAGCAGGGAATACATCTGAGTTATGCTCACAATTAGGAGCTGTTCTTGGTATGCTTGGTGATTGTTGGTATGTGTTATGTTATATCTCCAATCTGTTGATTTTTGTCTCTGTTGACCAGTCAAAGTCAAAGTCAAACTAGTTATAATGATGGTTATGTTGAAAACTGTAGTCGTGCAATGGGAGATGGTAATTCTGCAGTTGGATATTTTGATGAGAGTGTGAATTTCCTTTCGAAAGTGGGAACAGATGATCTAGAGGTATAAACAATTTCTTGAATCTTTTTTTTTTTTTTTTTTTTTTGTTTTTAAATTACGTTTATAACCTTAGTTGAATATGTATATATGTAATGCAGGTTACACATACGCTTTCGGTTTCTTTGAATAAAATTGGGGATCTGAAATATTATGAAGGCGATTTGAAAGCTGCAAGGGATCATTACTTTCGGGCTCTTGATGTTCGTAGAAATGCTATAAAAGATTCTTCAAAAGCTCCATCACAGGTGAGTCCATTAATTATATAATTATATCTGATTCCATTCCGTTTGTTGATTCCAATTCCGATTCCAGGTTCTAGATGTGGCTGTGTCCCTTGCGAAAGTTGCTGATGTGGATAGAAATCTTGATGCTGAGGACACAGCAATTGAAGGGTTTCAAGAAGCCATAAATTTGTTGGAATCTTTGAATATAAAGTCTGAAGAAACTGCATTGGAACAACGGGTAAGTTGTTTCTTTTTAATTTAATGGAAAGTCTTTATATATATATATCATGAAACATGATTTGATTTTGATGTCATTTTTGTTTTAATTATTGCAGCGTGTTTCTGTATTGGAATTCCTAAATGGTCAACTCTCCAAGAAGCAATCCAACTGAGATTGGAATCAGAATGATGCTCCATTTTGCACATCTGAAGAAGCTTTTAAGTGAGTTGATGAATGATGATATGATATGATATGGGTTCTTTTGGACCCTAATACTAATAGTAATATATATATGGAGCTAAGTTGGACATTGCTCAAGAATAATATCTAGCTCCTCGTTGCTATGATCTTTTTCTGTTTTTGTTATATAAAAATGCACTTAAGATGAGTGATGTTTGTTCTTTTGGTCCCTAATATGTTATACTGTGATTGCTCATGTAAATAAGCCTGTGTAATTGTAAGTTTTCCAAGCTTTTTTTGAAACTCAACAACCATATATAGATATAAACGTATGTAATGTATTAGTTATCGTACTCGTCATAGTATGTCATATTTATGTGTGATCTAATTTAATTAGGTAAAGGTTTAGTTTTTTTTTTTAATCCTCGTAAACTGTTCTGTGGGTAAAATAAAATGTTGGATAGATAAATGATGCATGTTTGGAGTAAATAAATGATATAGAAACAAAGACTTTCCTTTTAGAGCGTTTCCAAAGGACAGTATTTTTCTTTAAAAAGTTTTTTTTAATTATTTGGAAAAGATTTTTAGAAGTTTTTTACCATTGTAATAATGTTTAAATTACAGTTGCGTTCACCTGTTTATCATTTTTTTTC